TTGAATCGTCGAAAGTGAGAGTTATATTTCTGAGACTGAATCATATAATATCTTTAAAAATTGTTGCCACCTTAATACGAAGCGAAATTTAATCAAATTTTCGTATTTTTTTTAAAACTTCATTACACGATACAATGGTTGAACTTGGACGGAAACTGAATTCAATTTAATACCTAAATTCGGTTTCAATAATTTGTATTTTGTTTTCGGATACCGATATTAGTGTTTAATGCTCTGATTTTTCTTAGAGTAAACAGTACATTTATTTGGAAAAATACTATTTCCTACTAATCAGTTGCGCAACACCAAACTTTTCATTTATATTCTTTTTCTCTACTTAATACTTAAAAACGAAGTTTCCTAGTAAAGTTTAGTAAACAATATCGGAGGTTAAAATCCACTTTCCTATTGTTTCTAAAAGAATTGGTGTTAAATTTATGACAACCCAGATTAAAATAGAACATTCTAATATTATTATTTTGAATGATAACGTGAATGTGTTTTGATTCTTAAAATTTATAGTCTGTTGTCCTTTTCTTGTCAACAACGAATATCCTTTCCTCACGCATTTTACATAGTATTTTTAGAAACATCATTCAGGCTTAAATGCTCTCTGCGCTGGTTGGATAGTCTATTTGCTAGCCAATAACGTATGTGTGGTAAGTTACTATCGTACTGCACTGTTTGAATTGTTTGTACTCGAAATTTATGCGTACATACACCCCTGACTTTAAAAGTTTACTTTTTTTCTTAAACTTTTTTATTTTATTTATATGTTTCATTTAATGAAGACATAGTGATTTGTTTTTGTCTATAAATGTAAAAGCGTAGTCCAATTAAAATATAGTTCTGTTTAAGAGAGTTAATACTTAAACTGTATTCATAATTTTTTACAATGAATACCAACGAAGTACCTTATTTTTAAGGTTCTTTTTTATTTTGGGGCTGTAAAAAAGCCTATTATCAACCACAATAATAGGCACCTATATAAGTATAGCAGACATCTATTACCACAGAACCTGTTGTACTGATTACCACAGTTAATTAACCACCAGTTGAATTAATGATAGTTGTGAGATCTTCTACTATACTGTTTTGCAGTACCTCTATGTTTTAATTGTAAAATCATGAATTAAATTTCAAGTTACGTTGAAGAGACGGATATTACATTGACTATCTGTTGTTCATATATGATATCTTTGATATTTAGAATAAATACGTAATTAAAACGTTCGGGCATAATTACTTCTGTACAATTTTTCTAAAATATACAATTCGATTTTTACCTAAATATGCTCTCGCACATTTAGAAATCAGTTAAATATTCTTTTATCAATCAGTTTTTTTCTTTTTCATTTCATTTCTCAAGGTAATTTAAGGTTGCTAATTAAATTCGCACAATTGAACAGTCGAATCCTTATTTATAAGTTCTATAATAAACAAAATTCAAGTGTTTTAGAATAAATGCAGTGTTTTGTTTGAATAATTACTTTTGCTAACCACTGTCATTGGTAATTTATTGTTTCATGTTTCTTTCGTTTTAAAATTACATATCTCAAAAACTTTAAAAGAAATCTAAGAATATAAATATTTTAGGTATTTTATATTGATTTGTCGCTCTTTGGAGTGATTAATAAAATTATATATATGCGAAAAACAATTTAGTTTAAATATTCTTGTTGATATTAACATTACTGTGTTACTACTAACAAAACAATATAAAACTAAGGTATTAACAAAACTGAAGAACATTATTGTGCATTTATTTATTTTGTCCCACTTTTTCATTTTTATTTTTTTATTTTTAACCATTTTATGAGATTCTATGAAAAGTTTAGCAGTGAGTTTTAAAATTCCCTTAATAATAGTTGATTATTTTTAAAAAAGTTTCAGAATTTTTAAATTTTTATTATAATGAAATTAGTATTTTAAGTATGATGTACCTAATAATTTTGATGAGGTAGAAGCAATGCATTTTTTAAATCTAATTTTTGAACAATTTAAAAATATCTAAGAATTATACGGAAAAAAACTCCTTAGATAAAAAAAAAACTAGGTCTTGAAATTCTAACAACTAGTGTCAGAAACGAAAAAAAATTTGAAAAGTAAAAAAAAATTTATTAATTAAATTTTAAAAAATTATAATTAAAAATAATAGTTATAAAGGCAATTTCAAATTTTTAGTAACTTTCTGATTTTTAAGGCTATTTTTGTGCGAGCAAACTAAAACTGCGTTATTAAATTATAATAATTAAAAAACTTTGTTTAAAACCTTTTTTTTTCAAGTGACGTACATTGAAAAGCTTCCAAGTTGTTAATTCATATATAATTGCGTTCCATTTTATTGCTCAGTGTTGGTGTTCTCAGTTTATTAAAATACTTTAAATGTTAAAACCACAAATATATCATTGTATCCTGGGTGATTTGAAGTAGAGTTTTTCTAGTTGATGCAGTTGAGTGTTCACAAAATGAATATTAGCATTGGCGTTCTAAAACCACTCTTAAGTAAACTGAAAATGTAACGAAAAGATGGATTAAACAGCCTTGCCTCATACTTATCTCTTTTTTTTTCGAGTATAACAAGTGACTGATAATATTTCGCTTAAAAGTATTTTAACATACTTTAAACTCTTCTAATCTCAAAATAAACTAAAATAGTAAAAAAAAATTAAAAACTAAATCTCAGCTGGACAAATTAAAACCTTTTCCTTAGAACTTTCTGATGCAGTATTTTTATTAAACATATTCTTCATTTTTTTATTATTTTAAAATAATAAATTTCAAAATAAGTGAAAAATATTATATTTAGCATTTTAATAATTTATGGTTATAGAATACTGCATGAGACACTAGATGTCTTTGTTTCTGTTAAAGCTAAAATCCTCCAAACACGGCTCACTTTTGAACAAATTTTAAAATTCATTTTTAAAACTTGCACTTATTTGTAGTTATTTAAACTTAAGAGAAACAGTTATTCCTTATTGAAATTTCTTTAAAAAATTAATTATTGATAAATTTTTGAATATGAATGATAAAAAAATATTCAAACTACTTTTTTTTAATAATTTAGTACAAATATAATTCCGATAATCTAACAGATTTTTCAGCAGCTATTAAATTGGTGTTTATAGTTGAAAAATACTTAAATATGTTTTTACTTATAATTAGAGCATCAGAAAAATTATATAAAAGGGACACCTGTGTCCCATCTGTGTTGAAGAATTAAGTACATCGTTTGAACAAACAATGATTTCTTTAATGTAGAGTCTCATATTTTAAAAAAAGAACGAATAAATTGCAAAAACCTTAATTCATTTCCAACAATTTGTAAAAAAAAAAAATTTTTTTAAATTAAGAATAAAAAAAGAGACACACAGACACAAAACCTCTTCAGTCCATCAAAATAAAACTAACATTTCTTTCAATAATATTTAACAGATCTAATATCATTGGTCAAAAAAAATAATCATTTAAAATAAAAATATATTAGTATAAATAATATTTAGATTCTCACTAATCTTTTATAACTACTAATCTTTTATAAATAACCTCATTAATCTTTTATAAATAACCTAAAGTTAAAATTTAGTATCTATATGAAAACTTTTATAATTTTAACTTCATTTTTAGTTTTGTAAATATATTAAAATGATTTTATATCTAAATCTGTCTTGTTTTACTTGACAAAATTATTTTATAGAAATGAAAATGTTAACGCATTTTAATTGATGTCAAGCCTTAACCAATCCATTTAATAAGAATAATTTTACTTACCTTAAACAATCCATTTAATAAGGAAATTTTTACTTACCTAAACCAATCCATTTAATAAGGAAATTTGGGGGGAAAGAAAGCTAATTCTAACGTAATTTATAGGTAAAATAATCTTTAATGCATTTTCTATGGAAATCTCGGCTTGGTGACATTTTTGCTGAATTGGTGACAATCTTGGTGTTTTGGCGACGATTTTGGCGGCAAATTGATAGTTATAGAAACTTTGAGTTTCAAAGCTACAAGACCAATATTTACAGATTTATTCGAAAATCGTCTAGAAACGTGTCTAATATTTCGGGATTTCGTCGCCAAGCCCTTATAAATAGGAGTGTCTGCAATAGTGCTCCGACTTAGGAGTCTTGAGTGAATTAGTTTTCTGACCCATCTGAGCCTATGTTTTGCATATAGATTCTTGTGATGCAATGTTATTTTTGCCGTAATTATCAAATCTTAGTGTTTTTCTTTAATTTCCAAAACCCACCTGTGCTGACATTTTGTCAATTCAGGCATTTACAGGGCAGATTTATTGCCCACTCTTTCAGAGGCGACATATTAGGTGGGCTCCCACAGTAAAGTAAGTAGTACAGAGAATGAAAAAACATCCATACCTTATCCGGGATTCAAACCTTTCTGATGCAAGGCACGTTTCCTGACCCCTACACAGTCTGATCGGCTAATCTTAATGTTATAATTCACTGTATTGTGTGGAGGTTTCTACTAATGATGAAATGCTAATGATAAAATTTGAAAGATTTGTGGACTACTTCGCTCATCTCTCACTCAAACGATTCCCTATGCTTGGTACAATATTAAATTACCCCCAAATTTTAAATAGAAAATTAATGCTTGAATTGGCATTGAAAATTGACACACACACACACGGATGCAAGTCTGTAAAAAAAATTTTCATTTTTTTCTCAACTGAAATGATCCCTCTATTCGGAAATTCTAATTAACTTTATTAGGCATCCCTCTTAATCTATTTCTATAAGTCAATGATAAAACAAAATATACTAACTGTATTTTAAAAATTTCATTATGAAGCATGCTGTTTAGATCCAAAAACATACAAATACTACAATAAAAAATTTGAAATATAACAAATTTATTTATAGGTAGCATTAAGAAACGTGTTATAATTTTAGTTATCTGCAATATAATATAAAATGTATAGACAAGAACTAATAATTTTATAATTTCTAACTAATAATTTTATAACTAATAAATTCTTATAATTTTAAAATTTAATGAACTTGAATTAATTAACGAATTTAATTAATCTTCTTCAATCTTTGTCTGGGCTATCGTGCAGTTCGCCATCCCTAAGCACTGCTCTTCGCCGAGTTGTTGAAGCAATGCAGGTGAAAGTTCAGGCAACGCAAACTTTTTACTTCGGAGTAAATTTTACCATCATTTCAGCACTGTTAATGTTGATTAGATCTTGATTAGATAGTGCCATTGTCCTCTATTGAGTCAGTGGGAATAAAAAGCAGTTCTGTCAGCCATTTAGTCAAATGGGGAGAGAATTTTGGTGATACTATGTAGTAAGCTCAGAACTGTGGTTTGATTATCAGTAGCGGCTTGAAGCCCAATTTCAGATAGATTGGTACCAGCTTGTCTGAAAAGTAAAGGTAGCCCGTGAGTAGTTCTAACGGCATTACTACAATCAAGCGGTTGGTCTTGAAATTGAAAAGCTTTAACCTCCATTTCCCCATAGCTCGCAGTAGGCTGTAGCGAGAATACCTTGAATTTTTATGAAGTAAGCTCATATTTTGACATTGGAGAAAGGAGAGATTCTAAAAATTATAAAAATTAGAGATTCTAGATGTAGATAGTAGAGATAATAGAGATTCTAGATTAGAGATAGAACTAAAAGAGAGATTCTAAAAATTAGAGATCAGATGATAAGGAAAATTATGCTCTTGTAACTCTATAGGCTGCAATGCGAAAGTGTTTAAAGTGCATATAGTGTAGAGAAGAACTGAATTACAAAACTGCCTCTTATAGAGTAAGTGTCTTAGCTTTCCCGGATAAAGTAATACCGGCTAATCGAAACTCACTTGAACACATTTTTTAAGTAGTGTCAAGTTAGTGTCTTTTAAGTAGAATTTTCTTGTCCAGTTTGCAACCATTTCCAAACACCCAGTGTGACAATAGCTATTGTCACCAAAAGACTACTTCCAAGAGTATAATAGTCGGGAATGGAATTAAAAAATACAAATTCAAATATGATAGAAATAACTATGTCAAAAGCTGCTTTCATTGAGCTAACAACACCAGCAGTCTCATTTTGAAGTGCTAATGTGAGAAAGCAGTGACCCATAAACCCAAAAATACCAACAAGCAATACTTCCATTCTATCAGGGCCTTCACAATATGGTAACTCAAACTTAGCCGTAAAATATGTTATCACAGTGTTTTCAATGGTTCCTAGAAAACCAAAGTAAATCAAAACTATCGAGAAGTGTATGTTTCGCAGCTTTCGGATTGATATCGTTATGAATGCTAAAAGTAGTACACAGCCCACAGCACAGCTTAGGCCAAAGACGTAATGACTATCAAAGTTAGTGCTTGACCGAGTTTGTAGTACTTCTGGTAATCGAATAGACACAAGGACACCAAGAAATATTAATATTATGGACACCGTTTGAGCAGAGCCACATGGTTCTTTAAGATGTAATCGAGCAGCCACCGTGACAAGTGCGGGAAGTGTGGACAGTATTATTGAAGATTCTGTGAATGGTAAAAACCTGTAAGACAACAGGTTAAGATACAAACCAGTTGATCCAAAAATGCCTCTTGCAATCAGCAACCAAATGTACTCTTTCGGACCAAAAATGTTCTCTGTACAATAAATAGCTATCGGAAGATTGCCAATTAGCACACAAATATTTCTAACCAATGAGAGCTGCCCTGTGTCAATGTATGTCAGTTTCTTTACTAATACATTTGAAAATAGAATAGTTAGGCTGGTCATAAATGTATAAAAAGTTCCCAAAAAGGGTCTCCAACAATCGATTTTCAACTCGCTAGTATCATTTTTATTCTGAAATGGCGTTTGTATATTCTCCGATATTAAGAATTCTTCGCTCGCATGAAGTTCGTCTGATGTTTTTTTTCTTTTGAGCATCGCAGTCAATATTTGTCAATTAAGCATCATTTCAATTTCCTGCAAAAAGAAAAATAACTTTAAAGCAATAAGTATGTCAAAATCTATATTATATAAAACGCTAATACGTACGTATGTATGTATTAATAAAACCGATTATATTTCTTTTCTCGCGTTGGCAACAGTTTTCATTTTTATTTCATTGGATTCGGAGCGCAAGAGCACGTAGTGAGCATCATATGGCTAATCCATGTTATATAAAACGCTAATACGTTTTAATTGATAGGCTTCGGCGCGCAAGAGNAATTAGCACACAAATATTTCTAACCAATGAGAGCTGCCCTGTGTCAATGTATGTCAGTTTCTTTACTAATACATTTGATAATAGAATAGTTAGGCTGGTCATGAATGTATAAAAAGTTCCCAAGAAGGGTCTCCAACAATCAATTTTCAACTCGCTAGTATCGTTTTTATTCTGAAATGGCGTTTGTATATTCTCCGATATTAAGAATTCTTCGCTCGCATGAAGTTCGTCTGATATTTTTTTTCTTTTGAGCATCGCAGTCAATAATTTGTCAATTAAGCATCATTTCAATTTCCTGCAAAAAGAAAAGCAACTTTAAAGCAATAAGTATGTCAAAATCAAATATAAAGGGTGCTCGAAAAATGCTAAAAAGAAATGAAAATGAAACAAAAGTAAGTATAGTTTGTTGGAAAATGTTGTGTTAAAGCACAATAGATGGTGCGTGTTATGGCAATCGATGCAGAACAAGTTATGACTGTTATGTTACCTAAAAAAGGCACGCATGGCTAACTCGTGATAAAAAAAAAGCGAAGAATCCAATTTTCAGCTATAATGTGTGCCACCTACTCATAAACATTACTGCTATAACAAATTAAATCCTTTCTTTGATTCATTGGACTTCCTTTAAAAAAGTTTTTCTTGATTAGATGTAAAGAATGATTCAGTTTTATTCTAATTTATTTTGAGGAAGAATTCATTAATATTCCTCGCTTTTAATTTTAAAAAAAATTCATTTGAAAAAGGTGTTGAATGAAACTTGAAAAGTTCGAAGTTTTTAAAATGAGTCTTAAAGCTTAGTCTCCGTTATTTATTTTTAAAAAATTAAGCCTATTTATTTCGGAATTTTTTTTTCTAGATGCGAATAACTATTAGCATAACTCAAAGCAATTTAATATTTTTTTCTTTTAAACGATTTAAATAAAGGCTTTGGTAAATAAAGTTTATCATTAAGTTTTGGTAAATATATATAATATATAACCGTCGTTGAACAGCCGACCCAATTTCATGGGTTTACGACTACTTACGTTCAACTCCGTAGCCTTGTAATTTTGAACCAATCCAGAAGACAAGGAAACTCCTGGATCAGTACCCCCAGAGGTATTGATTTGTTGTGGGAACATGGAGGACTTAGAGACTCGACAGATTTACTACACGGGGAGTCTTCGGCCGGAGAGGATCGAACCCACGACCTCTTGGATATGGGCCCAGCGCCCTACCGACCAGGCTATCCAGGCCAAGTTTTGGTAAATAGTATTAAGTGAAAATGCCTTTCTAAAATTTTGTGCATAGCCTAGATTTAAACAGAATATTCTGAATTTTTTTTGAAAGATCACGCACATGTATTTTGAGTCTTAGAATATCTTTATGGTCTAATAACGCAATTTTTTTTTTGTAGACTACAAACATGTCATTAATCGTGTATTATACGCGTTTATTTATTTATTTAAAGTTTCCTAATTAGTTTCGTAATTTTGCTATTTTCGTAATTTCGTTATTTGTAGATTTAGCAAGTTCACGTAATGTCCAAGTTTATGTAGTTACGTTCTGCGCAACCACTGTAGATAAAACTAAAGTTGTTCTGTAATACTGCACAGTTAAGCATGAGGGATCTTAATATCAGCTCGCAGCTATATGCTCTCGTAAAACTAATGTTATAGCCTTACTATATATTGAAAATTACTATTCCATTTTAAAGTTTGAATTTTTGGTATTTGCAAATTTGACAAGCAGTAACTAAACTTATTTGATGTTTTGTATTTTAGAGAAAAAAAATTCCGAATCCGTTGTCCTAACTTCCGTTATATCTTTTGCCGAGGAAAAAAAACAATTATATTTGAAAACTTGAAATTTGATGGTTTGCAGAAAAATAGGGAAAATGAGATTTAAAAAAAGACTATTTATTATTGAAACTGATAAATTTTAAACTTAAAATCAAATTTGTCCCATGATCCCTCCTATATTGCAAGACAAGCATTGAAATTAGCCATCAGGGAAAAAATGGTAAGCAAGATATAAAAAATATGAAACTATTTACTTAATGATTAAGGGAACATTTTATTGCAAAATCAGTGGACAAGGACAATTTAATGTGATTTTGACTATTCAAATTGTGATGCCCTATTTTACAATGCGTTAAAATTTGAATTTTTAAAAATTTTCATGAATTTATATCAGAGGAAATAAGAGTATAGTTTTGACTTTGTTACTCGCTTAGATACTTGTATTATTATTATTACTATTGTTAATTATAAACAGTAGTGAGAATTAGTTCCACGTTCTCGATTAAAAACTGTATTTTTTTTATAAAAAAAGCACAGTATTTGAATATAGAAGTTTTTTAAAGCGTTAAAAAAAGCATCTAAATTGTCAGTATCCAAACTAAAAGAAGGAAACCATAAACTATACCTATTTTCTTTCGAGATCCGTATACTATTATTATTAGTATTCGGGTTTGAGTTAATAAAACCTGTGTTTGGTTTTGAAATAATATAAAACAGGATATTTTTAAAGTTACAGGATGACTGAAAAAAGAACTATTCAAACACTTATGAAATTGCTTTTGTTATTATGCTTCTTTTAAACATGCTGATGAAAGTACTTAAGCCTCGTGCAGAAGGCACGTTTCCTTTTCTTACATCACAAAAATAACCATCTTATTCACCAGACTTATATCCAGTGTATTTTTCGCTTTGGATTAACTTGGTGAAACTAATTTTTATTAAATATCTGGGTTTTGAATAATCTGCTTACATCCCTAAAAATTCCTTGAAAAAAGCATAGGATATAATATAAAAATGTGAGGAGGTGGTTCATAGCAGAAAATTACATGAAATGCTTATTGCATTGCATTATGTTAAAAGGGTAAAACTTTGAAAATTCATAATATTTAGCAAGTAGTTATTAAATGTAGTTATTTGTAGCTTTTATATGATTTTAATAAGTAATGAAATTAAAATGTGCTTGTGATGCTATTTCTTGTCTCACAGCTTATTTTTATATTTTAATGGATTAAAAAAGATAGATAAACATTCTCTGAAAACTAACGACTTCGAAATGTGAATAAAATATTATGGATCTTTGATTATTGATATCTCGAAATGTTTTAATTAAAATCTTTAAGCACACTTCCAGGTTAAAAATATCGTTTTTCTTACTGTATATTTATCTTGATATCTAATTTAATAAGTTCATCTGTTAAGAACGATTACTTTTATCTGGTTACTTTATTTTGATTATGAGATATGTGCTCTTTACAAGTCAAGCAACAACCGATTAACCGAGAAAAGTGATAACGAAAATCAGTGATATTAATTGACGGAAAACCTTGTGAGAAACTTTTTACTCCATGCGTCACAATGCAGGTCAAAAGCAATCTAAAAAGAGAGAATCTTACTCAACAGGACATGGAAACTGATTGAGAATTCTAAGAAAACGTCGGATGCTATGAAAGGATTAAGGAAGGATCATGCATAAGAGAAAACATGTTTTGATTAAGAAGAAATGTATGTTTTTGGATTTGTAAACACATTTTTTTTTAGTAAAATAATTTTAAAGTAACTTTAATCGGAATGTAATATTTATTTTTAAGTCATTCAAGAAATAAATTTTGCTAACAAGTTCTCTAGAATTTGGTTAGAAAAAAATTGAATAATGGTTAACATTATAATGGTTGAAAAAAATGAATAATACGTATAAACATTGAATTTATGCGAAGGCCTCACAAAAAAACTAGGACTACTTCAAACTGTGTACATTTTCTGATATAGAGTCTTAAAGCCTAATGAAATTATAGTTTTTCTTATCTTGTCTGATTTTTAGTGATTATTCTCTGTATTTCAATAGAAATAAGTATACGTAAATAGAATATATTTTATTATTTTATTTAATAACAGTAGAAAAATTTTTTAATGGTAAAGTATACAATTTTTTGCATCATTTTACAAAGTGTAATTTTACATGGCAAAATACAAGATGTGAGGAAAATCGGTCGAATAGTTTCTGAGAAATTGAATTTCAAACATGTGAGTTTTTTGAAATTCAATTTCTCTGAAACTATTCAAGCGATTTTACTGAAATTTTAAACTTTGCAATGTAAAATTATATGCTTTAAAATTATGCAAAAGTTTAGAGCTCACAATTCAAAAGTTTTTCGACAGTTATTAAATAAAGTAGGAAAAATAATAAATATTTACAAAAAATTATTTTTCGCATTGAATTATCTTTGGAAAAACGCGTTTTATAATTAATATAAATTCGATTTAAATTTTCACGAGATACAGTGAAATAAGCAAAAAGTAAAATTATCATTAAGGGGTCGAAATGATGGAGCGCTCTCCTGACTAAAATATTGAGATGATATTTCCCTGATTACTGCTGCCCCCTATACTTTGGGGATCAGAAATCCATATCCGTCGTTAAAAAGGTATGTTTATTCAGAGAAAGTACGTTTTTGTATTTGATTTCGTAACTTCAAATATCTTCTGCGCTTGTTAGTTAGCATATTTCAAGTCACCCCCTCGAACCATTAAGATTGAATCCTAGAATCTGAAGATCCGATCATTAGATCAAAAGTTATTCAAGGTGGTCAGTCTCTTTTTGCGCACTGTACAAATGCACACATTGGAAAAATTGCAGAACAATGAAAAAAGGGAAAAAGAAAATAATAAAAATAATAAAAAATTCAGAAAAAAATTCGAAAAAAAGAAAAAAAATTAATAAAAATCCGAAAAATGAAAGATATAATCTTTTCATCAGC